GGCATTCTAAATTTTCTAATGAAGAATTTAATAGCCCTTTAGGAAAAACAACTACTGAAAATACTTAAAAGCTTTATGACTAATGAATATTTATAAATTGTTGCTAAAGCTGGGGTGCACTTCTGACTACCATCTACAACATGGTTCTACTTCTTTCTAGTTTAGAAACTTTTTGTGGGTCACATAATTCCTACTATTCTTCTTCATTTTTCTTCACTGTTCTTTCCTTTCCTTCCACCCATGAAGTTATCACTACTTGCAGTTCCAACAACAAACTGCCCAGATCATCAAGTAAAACTGTTTTTCACTCTGGGCATAGCCATTCTAGGAATGCTACAGCAATTAACATCAAAATGGTAAAAGATTCAACCCCTAGTAAGCCTTGAGGCTTAAGATGCAGGAGATTTAAGTTTTAGTAGACCTTGAGCTTCATTATACGCCCACTGTAATATATTAACAAGGTGAATAAACATGCCCACAGGCGCCATGACAGTCCCAAGGCTAGCCACAAAAGGTCAAAGACTGGGAAATGGCCAACTTCCTGGGAATCCCAGCCCCTTCTCCAGACTAGTTAGACTGGTCCTTCTACTTATTTGCATATGAAGCCACCAAGCCCATAAAAATGGGCAGCACTGCCACCACAGCCACTGCTCGCTAGCTCGCTCGCGCTCTCTCGCTCTCTCTTCAGAGACGGCCGCTCTGTCTATGGAGTGTGTACCTACTTTTACTCCAATCTGAGCACCCAACCCCTACACCTCATGGCCCTTCTCTTGCCTTTCGATGTATCTCTTTAAATAAATCTACCTTTATTCAAAAAAAAAGTTTTAATTTTAAAAATTTCCCCCTTTTGATTGAAGTATAGTCAGTTTATAATGAATGTTACATTAATTTCTAGTGTTTAGCATAGTGAGTCAGTTATACATATATATTCATTTTTACATTCTTTTTCATTATAGACTATTATAAGATATTGAATGTAGTTCCCTGTGCTATATACAGCAGGACTTTGTTATTTATCTATTTTATATATAGTGGTTAGTATCTGCAAATCCCGAACTCCTAATTTATCCCTCCACCCTCCCTTCTTTGCCCACTGGTAACCATAAGTTTGTTTTCTATGTTTGTGAGTCTATTTCTGTTTTGTAAATAAATTCATTTTTGTCATTTTAAAAGATTCTACATGTGAGTGCTATCATATGGTACAAAAGTGCTTTTTAAATTATATTTATTTATTTTTAATGTATTTCAGGCAGTACAAATCCAGGCTTTATGAGCTGATGAGACCTGTTTTTACGGTCAATCTGAGGATGATCTGTAATAAATAGGTCTGTAGGGCAATCCAGAAGCTTCTGTTTTTACCCAGTGATCCATGTGATTACTGTGCACATTAAAGTTTGAGAAATAACTCTGGCATATAGAAAAGGAATATATTAAGATCATACTCACATTTTCTAAAAGGGTAATGCATTATTTAAAATAGAAAGATCAAAACCTATTTTTCTCAGTAATAAAATATTAGCGCTGAAACAAACACTGGTAAATTAATTTTCCAAGGAAAACTATGGCTTTGCCATAGTATACTCATCAAATAGATCAGCATGTAATAATTTAGCTAGGTAATACATGGTGTAATGGGGATTTCTCTACTTTCATATTCTACAAATATTATGCTAAACTAGTCTTTAGTTTAACAAAAACTCTTTTAAAATAGACTACCTGGATAATAGTAAAATATTATGGTTCAAATAAAATGGTTAGCAGATGATGTAAGATCAGATTATGTATGTTATATTATTATATTTACTCTATTTCCTTATCTATATCCTTGATTTAGAGCATCCTGTAGGCAAGGGCTGTCTTTTTTCTACTGCCCAGGAGAGAACAGACTACAGAGTAGACATTCATTTAGTGAATATTTGTTGAATGAGTGAATAAATAAATGGCTGGAAATTCAATGTATATTCATTCCAGAAAGAACACATACAAACAAAATCATTTGAGAAATTAAAAAACAATAAAATGGAGATTTTTACCACGTTACAGCTATAAAGAAAAGAAAAATAAGAGGAATAGAAAATAAATATCTTTTAAAATAAATAATAAATAATCAGCCTGACTGACCTTATTCAGTGAGTTAAGTTCCCAGAAGGTTTAGATAAACTTCTACATTGTTATATGAGATAACACAAGACCTATTTCCATAACTGTGTGAGGTAATTTCTAACGCATCAGCCAGAAAGAAAAATTGATATTCCAGGAAGCCAATGAACTAGTTAGTGTTTAAGATGGTGGTTATTTATTACTTGGATAAAAATCTAGGCGAGGAATTAACGGTCAGAAAAATTGAATAAAAGGATAAAATAAGGTTTTTGTTTAACTGTATTTACTGCACTAACTCCTTAAATTCAGAACCAATTATGAACACTGTGGTGCTATCCATAATTACATGCTGAGTGTGTAAATTTAAAATGGCAATTTCAATTTTCATTTCATCAAGATGAGGAAGAAAATGAAATTGAATACTAATTAGTGCATGTGTCTCATACACCTGAAAGGGGAATACTGTGCTCATTATAAGTGAGTTTAAGCAAAGCGCTCAAATGTTTCATTTGAAGGCCTGAATATAAATAAGAGTTAAGTGACAAGGGAAATTAATAATGCTCAAACACAGAAAATGAGGAACAGGATTAGACTTCCCAGAGCCTCTTAGATATGGTTTTCCTTTAAGAAAGGGATACACTTTTTCTTTCCAGAAAAATAACTTAGAAAATAAGATGTTATTAAAGAATACTATAGCACAATATGTACTCCAAACACAATCATGAAGTATATTTTGAACAATGGTGAGTTTTCAATTTTCCTTCCATTATATGTAAGATTTCTTCACCTAATATAAACTCTTTTTATTTACTTTTACTGTTTTTCTCAGAGTTACTATCTTCACACTAAAAGCAAAATAATAAGAAAACTAGCAATAATAGTAATAGACTATCCTTAAAAGAAGTATTTAACTATTCTACTGAGGTTGATAAAATTATATTTACTCTAAATTCCTCTAAGAGACAACTATTGTTCCATTGAGGATATTTCTACCTATAATTGCCGGGAATAAGAAAACTTAAAATTCATTCATACTTTGAAAGACAGAGCATTGCATAATGTTAACTAGGCAATAAACCACAACAAAGTAAAGTGAAAAATCAGGACATAAAATATTTGTAAGGTGCTTCTCAGAGAAAACACTGCAGAAGTATATTATTTATGGTTTACTGAAGCATGGTAATCACTGATACTCTCAAACATAATCTGTCAAGTGGAAACCCTGATTCAAACCTGTGACATCATTTCTCAATTGCTCTGCAATTTCCGCTATGAATCTTAATTTCTAAAGTTTTATCATGACCTCAATCCTACAAATGCATTTTATAAAGTCAACTAAAAAAATGGTCTCCAGAATGACTTTAAGCAAATAGAATGCAAGCATTTTGTTGTTGTTGTTTTCTGTTTACTTAAAACTTAACTGTAACTTCATTAGTCCATGATCAAACTGTGCAGATGTGCCATTTCAACTATCTGGAATTTTTGCACATGTGGCTATAGATTAGAAAGATCATGGTTAGGAAATAATTTCTGCAAATGCATGCAAAAATGAATTCATAAAACAAAACAAGAATATCAAGTAACCACATGGAACCACATAGATAAAAGAAATGTATATAGGATATGTAAAAATTCATAAGAAATCTGAAGATATATCTAAAGCAGAGCTTGGTCCTGTTTCGAAAGTATGCAAATTACACTACTTGGCCATAAATCAATTTCTCTAAAACTGCCTGTACAGCAGCCTCTCGTTTTTGCACCTAATAACATCACATCATGCATTCCCATTTAAAAAATTATCTCTGACTCAAAATATGTAGTCAACAGATAAAACAGATCAGCTACCTAAACAAATCAAAATTCTGTAACAACTCCTTATTCTGATGGAATAAAGCCAAAATCTTTTAGTATGTATAAATCTGATGGCACACTAAACTTGCACATTGGATTTGAATGCATTCCTCCAGCAACCTAAACACAGGTCATAATTTTCTGTATGTCATTGCCCAGATTCTCACCTAGCATCTTTGATCATGCTGTTCCCTTGGCACCTGGTCTCTAGTGAAAGCCAAGGCCTATCTCAAAAGCTACCCTCCCCATCATACTTTCTCATGACAATCACTTCTTCCTCTGTCCCCAGTGTATACTGGATTTTCCCTCTTTATTAGCACACATCAATGACTTGTTAGATGTTCTTAACATGCTCCCCATCAACACAGGTATAATTTTTCACAGAAACCAGAGTTTGACCACCTTTTCTGTCTCTAAATATGTAGTTTCCTGTCTCACTTCAGCTAAGGGCTCAACAAGTGTTTTACTAGGTAGAATATAAGATGCAAACATCACTACATCCATCACATCTTTGGGAAATCACTTAATATTTCCATATGTCATTGCTTCCTCATGCTTTAAAAAAAAAAGGTAACAAATAAGAGAGTATGAATTGAAACACCCTCAGCTATTGACAGAAGGTGCTGAAGACATCTGTGGTATTACCCTAAGCTTCTACATATTGTATATTTGCACATATGGAACCACTTATAAGACATAGAAGGAAAAGACAATTTTTATATTCTTGAAGTGTTAACATTTAGCAGCAATGTTTGATAAAGTACTAATGAACACATGGTAAATGTAAAAACCTTCCCCTTGATATGTACCTTAAGATAATGATATTTATAATCTAAGAATTTTAACATTTTTAACCCTCTTAATGCACTTCCCAATGGAATGATCACATTTCCCACAGTTTCAGAGTTAACAATCAATTGGGACTCTAGCTAAAGCATCCTTTCCTCTGCAACCATGAAGACAAGTCCCACTGTGGGCACCTACTATGTTCTTTCTGAAACGACTCTGGTCATTCCGTGACAGTAGCCCTGACCCATCCCATTTGTTACCTGAATCCATGGCCATCTGTCATTTTCTGCAGCTGTCCAGGCATTTATCAGCCCCTTCTTATTAAGACGGGCATAGTAGGGATACCATTTCTGGAGTCCAAAAAGAGCTCGGTGGGTAGATGAAGCTGTGATTTGTTGATTGGATATGATTCCACCTTCAATTCCCAATGGGCCTGAGCATTCTGGGAACAAATCAGGAAAAAAGTGTGAATGTATTAGAAATAATCCCTATCGAAACGTGGCTGTTAGATTTGATGGGAGATAATTTTTAAGTGATTTTAATTTGGGCCATCATACCTTCTGAGCCCCTTCTACTTTCAAGATTTGTTACTGGTGACATGATGGAGATAATTGCTCCTCATGCCACTCTTTTCTCCCTCTGCTTTGAGTGTGGCACCTGAACACTCCCCTCTGCATTGTGATTCTGTACGATTTAATGTTATCCTTTAATTGTTGATCACATCAACAAAAAAGTAATGTCCTTAAAAGGTCTGTCTCATCTTTTATATTCCCATTAGCATGCTTCATAAACTATAAGTTCTCAAGAATATCTGTTGATACAATATTTCTTAACTAGCCTACACCTGAGTTTTGTATCAAAAATCATTTTCTTGCTGACTTAGCTCTTCTCTCTACTATGCATTTTTTAACTTAAATTTCATAACCACTGTCATTTATACTTCCACAAAAAGGGCAATATGTCAATCTGTTCACATTTAAGACTATTATAATAATGACTTGTGATATGCTATAATAGAGAATAAACAGACAAATTCTTTCTGTAAAGTAAGTAGGTAAACTCTGACATTATAAACAGCAGTATGAACACCACTCATTAAATCAAGATATTAAATACTTACATTTCTAATATTTTTAATTCAAAATTCACAACTGTACCAACAGGGATACTGAATTTACATTTTAGTTTTTTTCTTTTATTTTTCTTTAAATTTGCGATTTGGAAATTCAAGAAAACTCTCCCTATAAAAATTTAAAACACTAACATTAAAGCATAATGTACTCAAATACATTTTCAGATACCAAATGTGCTTAGATTTTAAAATTAAAAATGAATTTACATCAATCTAAAAATTATATATATTATATATCATATATATTTGAATTTCTTACTTATTTCATAGAATTTCACCAGAAAGTACATTTATTTTAAATTCATTTTCAAAAATTTTGAATAATACTATGCTATGGTGAAAAGTAATAGCTAGCTTTCTTAATTTCATTAAAATTTCATATACTATATTCAACTTTTTGCCAATTTAGAGTTATATAGTAACTAATTTGATAATCTTATTACAAAATACACTACAAAAATGCATCAAAATTCCTGAAAATATGAAACGAGCATACTGCCATTATTAATGTTAGCGTATATAAGTCAATTTGATCAGAGATTACCACCAAACCTATTACAGATTTTAATTACTATTGAACTCCAACATTTGTCAGTGATTAAATGTTTACACTCCGACTGAGGTTGAAAATAAGAAAGGAAAAACCTTGCAGGTAGACTGTAATATTTTAAAAAGTTACAAAGATGTTTCTCAGTGGTAACCTTTTTTTCACTAAGCATAAATGTGTTTTTCTCTTCCATTCTCAGACAATAAACAGCTCTTAGCACATTACTTACTAACATTTCCCCAACAGATTAAAAATCTTTAAACATTTTTTATAAAAAGGAAAATATGTGGATAAGTAATCATCTTAATCAGATGTTATTAGTAAAGATTACATTACTACAGCAAAAATTGTACCTTTGTGATTGACAATTCACAAATCATTCACTTGATAAGTTTACTTTACACAGTAAGATCTTTTCTAAAACATGCATTTAGAACTCTTTAGCACATTATAAAGGTGTGTTGTATCACTTTGAAGTCACTAAGTAAGAAGCCATTCATTTTTAGAATCGTAGTATTAGGAGCTACAGATAATAATCTGATTTTCATATTCCAAAAAAATTAACATTGAAAATTCAAATGTTGAGTCTTTGAATTCTTGCTTTGCTTTGCATTTTAAACATCAAGATCTTTACAGATTTCATAAAAGCACTAAGAAACTTTCATGATGACACTTTGATTTTAAACAACTGCAGGAGGCTGGCTTTTTAAGAATATTGCCATTAAAAAGAGTCTCAAGGATGCTTGTCCTTGATTTGTACAATGTTTGGATGGGAAAATGTAGCAGGCAGGGAGGCCATTTATTGTAGGCCAGTCAGTGGAATGGCAGAGCCAGAGAGCCAGCTTTGATTAATTAAACTGCAGGGCAGCCTTAGAAAGAATTCTGTACCACTTAGTTCTGTACTTCTAAAGACCTTATGCGGAATTGGATATCCTCCCTGAATTTGTAACCATTTTAAAAGAGATTAGACCTCAAACCACACTATTCAGTGTCTCTGCTTTGTCAGTCTTCTTAACCTTATTAGCTACCGTATCAGCAAAACACACTGGCTGTGAATTGCTGCATCATCATACAGACCAGATACCAATGAGCAATTTTTAAAATATAGTTGCATTTTTTTTCACTCTGCCATAAGGCCCCCAATCTTTGCCATGCCATCAACAGCCGTTCTTTCAAACAAAACATAATTCCAAAAACAACTGACATGTTATATTTACATAGGACTTCACAGCTTATAAAGTGTTTTCACATGAGCTCTCATTGCTGTAATGTCAAATTGAACATTTCTTTTCTCAGTTCTCAATTCCTCCTGTTTTTTTTGTTTTAAAATAAACTCTTGTAAAATTCACTTACATACTATGCTGTGTGTTGCCAATCAGTGAAGCCCAGCAGAGGGAACACACCCTGTGGGGGGTTCTTGAGTGAAGCGTGCATCAGTGAGGTTATCAGTTTAATTCCTTAAACATTGAGTGGTCCTCAATTTTTATTTTCATTAAAAAAATTGTGGTTATGATGACAACTAATCCACTAGCTGTGAAGTAATGAAAGATAAACAGTGTTTTGCCTTTGTAACTACAAATTGTTAATAATGAGCTTGGTTCTACAAGGACATTTGCACGTTTCTCTTTATTGCTGATAAAGAGGTGATCCTGACTCTGGCTCATCTGGAGCAGGCACTGAATCTTACTGTTGTATCCTTAGATGTTCACAGTGGCTTGGCTTCTTCACAGGAAGAGCTCAATAATCATGTGCGTAATGTTGGTATCAAAGGCTTTTTTCCTAAAGAGGAAGCTAATCATCAAATCCAGGTCTTATAGTTTGTTTCACCCTGAAAAGTTGTCACAACAGCAACTTTCCTTCACTAATCATTTGGACCACAATCAAATGGATGTCATCATAATAAAGGATTCAAAATTCAATTTCTTCTTGCCTGGGCTATCCACTTCCCCAGTGCCCTATTAAATTCAACAGTTATAAAAACGAAAGAAGTTGCAATTCAGAATGCAAATGATTAAACACCTAAGATTCAGTGACCTTAAGCAGTGAACAATAAGATGCTTAAAAGAAAGACAATCTGGAGATACACATTGCTATCACTATCAATAACTGAGGGAAGGATATAAAATAATGCTTGATGAAAAATGGTCTCAGATGATCATTCTGAAGTTGGAAAAGTACATCCGCATGTGTTTCCTCATGTAGGCAAAATTATACTTCAAGGGAAAAAAGTCACCATGCTAATTCATAAGTGACAAAACTTGTGAGGAGGGAAGTTCAACTCATAAAAAAAATGAGTCTGGAATTAAAGCCAAATGCTCTTTGGCACAAACAGAAAATAATGTCAATTGATAGTGTAAGGAGCTCAGTAATTCTTCAAAATTGGATCCTGGATCCTTTCCTTCTGTGGTGATTTTACATGGAGGATGCGGGCTTACACATACTAGAGTAGAGGATATGAGAATTAACATTAAGAAAACTTGTAGAATATCACTAGTGGTACCCAGGATATGACCGAGTTTTCACAAATTGGGACATATTAAAGCAGCAGGTGACAGTCTGTGGCAGTGAATCATGGAAGTAAATACTGAGGTATTATGGTGGTCTGTGTTCCTTTAAAGGTATCCAAAATTGACCTGCTACCATTATTGGCTTATATATTGCTTATCAAATATGAATAGGCTAATTCAATCCTGACTAATTTACTGTCCTCTCATTATACTCATCTATCTATCCATCCATCCACCTATTCTCCGTTCATTCAGTTCAGTTTTTAAAAATGCATATTTATTAAAGGCTTACTATATACCAGACACTAGGCAGTGTAGACAGTGAACAAGGCAGAAAAAAAAACCCATCTCTCATAGTTCATATTCTAGTGAAGAGACACACTATAATGAATCCTTAAGTAAAAAAGGAAATACCATAAAGTGGTTAGTGAAGGAAAAAAAAAAGGTGGACCAGGTAGCGGTGTCAGGTGATCAGAGACAGCCTTTCTGAGAAGTGACACTAAATCTGATCTCTGAGTGAGAAGCGGGTGGGCTACTGCGGTAGGTTTACTGTACTGTTTTCTGAAGGAGCTTCAGTCCAGTGGGAGAGACACACCTAGAAGTGAAAACATTTGAATATAATATGGCAGATGCTGTGATGTTGGATACACATTATTCAACGGGAGAAGGAGAAGGAATTATCACCCAGACTGAGGTTCAGGACAAGATTTCCTGGAAAAGAGAGGGAGCTAAAATAGTGAAGAAGAAAGAGAGGGCAGACACAGAGACAGGAAACAGCTGGTATGATTAGGGAAGTGGAGGTGGTTCAGTATTACTAGACCAAGATAGTTGGTCAGGAGATGTTCAAGGATGGGGTGAAGAAGCAGAGAGAGCCTAGATTATTTTCCTAAGAGCTTCTGAGAAAAAACTGATTCTATTAATGATGTGGAGTTTTTGAAGGATTCTAACTATGGTCATATTTTCATTTAATATAAATAATTTAAGGGGGGACAAAACTAGGGCCAAAGAGCAAGCTACTATCATGGTCCAGGTGAAAAATGGAGCAGTCTGAAGGAGAAATGGAAAAAAAAGTTTAAAGCATATTTAGAAATTAAAAAATGAATAGAGCTAGGAATAATTAGATGTTGAATGGAGAAGAGTAATGGAGTATCTTCAAGGGTGACGGACAGCAGACAGCACATGGCAACCCCCAACAAAGGGACTGGCCATGCCTCACAAAGAACACCTTTGAATCTAATTCTTCCCTTAAAATTTTA